ATATACATATATATATATATATATATATATATATGGGCCCGAATCATTACATACCTGCCCTCAAATCCTATATATATCCCGCTCAGGTCGCTATAGTCGTGTCCCCAATCTGCGAACGGTGCCGAAGTTAAAAGCCCATATTGTTCGCAGATTAAATCAACAAAAATATAACAACATATGAATACCTCGATGATAGCCATGTTGAACGTAAATCTCAACCGAAGAGGTCAATTCCAAACATTCAAAATGTCATTCAAATGCCCATAAAATTCAAAAATTCTAAAAATACCAAAATCTAAAATATTTAAAATTGAAATCAACCATCAACTACTTCAAGTAAAATCCATCCATCCTCTGCAACAATTTATTGAGGTGAACAAATGTGAAAATTACTTTAGCTCAAAAAAAGCTAATGTCTAGTCGATAATATCATTAAGATGTATTATCAAACAATCTCATGTCAGTAAGGTGGCACGTGTCCTCTAACCGGTAGTTTTCCGCCAAATGGCACCACAGATAAAAGGTTATGATCGAGGCCCTCTGAACCGAGTGTTTTGTCACCAAATGGCATCACTAAATTACGGTCATGGCCAGAGCCAGTAAGCTCCCCAATGGCATCAAATTCTTAAGATAAAAATCAATAGGATATAATCGATAGGGCGCAAAGCCCTCTGTCAGCTAAGGTGGATTTGAATTTGTCCCCTTAGGTAAATATTCACCTCAGCTCTACAAGGTACCCTTAGGCAATGCAACCCATGGCTGCTGAAAAAAAAAATCCTTTTGTCATGTTGGGTCGACTACCTCCTCTGACTAAATAGACTAAGGACCACGATGGCCCGGAACGACAGAACCATGGGATCTTGATCGAGCTCATCATGCATACTACCCACTATCTGCTTTAAGTGCAAGATGGTGTAATTTCAAATATCAAATTTCAAATACCTAAATCAATGATGCCACTAAATGTCGGACACCGCGTATCTACGGGCATGACATATTCATCAATGACTAGCCTTAATCGAAAGTTCTCTCTTGCTAACAAAAGGGGTAATTAACTATAGGGGCTTGCGCCTATAAGATCAAAACTCAAATCATAAAGCCCTCGCAAAAAGAGGGCGAAATATCTAGGCAGTGTCTTATCTACAAGCCTAATTTGCTATCTGAAAATTTTCAAATCCCATACCTTTTTATCACACAATAAGCTTGATGCATTACTCCACTTCAACCATCCAACTTGAATTATACTAATAATACCCCCATATATTTTACCACCACTCTGGACAATAGATCCAAGATGTCTAAAACATGTATTCTTATAAATAAACTCATCGCAAAAAGTCACAATCCCCCCACTAGATGTATTATTATTAAAATTACACTCCATATATTCAATTTTAGATCTACTCAAACGAGTAGACTCTAAGATTGACCTACATAATTCAAGTTTACTTTCAACTCGCTCTCTAGTTATATCAACAAGAAGAATATCATCAACAAAAAGCAAACACCAGGGTACAACCTCTTGCAAATGTCTAATGAGAACATCCATGACTAAAGAAAAAAAAGAAATGGGCTTAAGGCTGATCCATGATGTAATCCAATTGAAATAGGAAAATACTTTGTCAAACCATTTTGTGTTTGAACACAAGTAATAGCTCCTGCATACATATCCTTAATAACTTGAATATAAGCATTATTAACCCCTTTCTTTTCTTTGTTCATTTTCTCAAAATAAGAGTCACGTGAAACATAATACCTCATCAATCGAGGAATGATCGTAGCTCTTGATTTTAAGGTTCTTATAGAAGAATGGAAAGTTTTCAATTTCATATTTTATGCGCACATTGATTAAAATAAAATATGTAAACTTGACCCAAAATTAAATAAATGTTTCTTTCTTGGTGATGATACTAATGATTTTTGCTACATATTTTAGGACATTGAAAAATTTAAAAAATAATTAAGAGAAAACATAATTTTTTAAAGAAATATTAAAATACAAAGATAGGCAAAACAATAATTTGACATCCATAAGAGTCAATTAATATTGATAAAAATAGGAAATGCCACAAAATATTCAAATCAACCTAAGTTAAGACTCCAATTGGGACAAAAGTCAAGAGATCACAAAGAATTCTAAAGCCATTATTATTCTACTCTATATTATTTACAACTTATTGGAGCAGAAAACGTGAATCTCATGAAGTTGTAAAAGTAAGGATTCATCTAAGTGGGATCTAAAAATGCAAAAAGAGATGGAATCTCTCTCAAAAACAACATCTAGACCTTGACTAAGCTATTCAACGATAAAAGTAACTAAATGAATTTGAAAAATAGAAGATGAGTGAAGCGGCAACAAAAGCTATGTATACATCTAGTAAAGTATAAGGCAGATTGGAATTTGGAATAGTACATCCTTCCGCAATTTTTCCCCATCACAGGCATTACTGAAAAATATCAACTCCAGTTCCATTCTAATAACATAAAACTTGATTGAGACACTTGAAAATAAGAATTGAAATGATGTCATGAGAGAAGAAGAATATCCAAGAAAGAAAAAACCATACTTAGAAATTTGTTGAACTACATAAATAAATGAAAATGGTATGATGCAAACAGATTTTTTCTATAAAATATATGATAGATAGGAGTCAAAAACGATACAATGCAAGATTAATAGCCAAAGGATATACTCAATCCTATGAAATTGACTATCAAGTAACATTTGCTCCTATTGCAAAAATGAATATAGTTCATATATTAATTTCTCTAGTGGCTAATCTTGGATGGTCTATACAATAAAATAATAGAAAGAACGTCTTCTTACATGGAGATGTTGAAGAAGAAGTCTATATGAATCATCCACCAGGGTTCAATAGCTTATTCACAAAGAACAAAGTATGCAAATTGAAAATGCTCTATATAGACTTAAATAGCCCTTGAGAGCATGGCTTGGTGAATTTGCAAAAGCTATGAATGAAGTTGGATACAAAGACAAGGTGATGCGGACATCCGACGGTGGACGTTAATCAAAAGAAGAGATGAAGATCGATGGCTTAGATCCCTCTATTTTATCTTAGTTTATTAATTGTATTTTTTATTTAATTATGCATTTTTTTATATTTTTACCCTTACTTAAGGGCTCTGTCTTATGTAAGCTCAACGGGCAAAGTTGTCTTTTCATTTCTTTTAAGACATATATATAGATGTCCTTGCTCTTGTATTAGATCAATGATGGATTAAAAAAAAAACTTTATGCACTCTTGTTCTTAGGGAAGAACTTTGGTGAGATCCCTATGTGAGGGAAGCGTAATATCCACCAGTCGCAGGATGTGTCCGG